AAAAAAAAAAAAAAAAAACGTACATGGAAAGTTCGTGAGAGAGTGCTAAAGGAAAGGCACCAGTGACATCCTATTCTTTTACATTTAAATCAAAACATACCGTTAGCCCAATATTATTTTCTATTTTCTTTGCAAGGGGGAGGGGTGGGTGGGAAGGAGGGGCTGGGGAGAGTAAATAAATTTACAATTTTAGTATGTTGTCGAGTATTTCTACCTAAAAATGTTTTGTTTGCTTCAATCCTTGACTTTCTATGCCCTATCGCCCGTTGCAAAACCGAAAATTGGCCCATTGTGGTTCATGACTGCGCTAAAGGGAATCTGGAAGGAAGAGCGTATGGCCTCAAATCAAGAAAAACCCTAACCAGTTGTCTTCAGTTCCGTCTTTTACGAAGGCTTTCTATCGCAGTTTGCTCGAAGTCAGAACCCACTGTTGAAAGATATACAGCCGCGAACTGTTGTGTCAGGATCAGGAAGCGATGTAAGCTTCTCCAGTTATTTAATACTCCAAAGAGAATGACAGGAACTGCATAATGCAGGACTAGAACTAATAGCTAAAATTCTTTTTGCGAGGAAAAACGTACTTAGTTGTTATTATTAAGGGCACGTCGACGTGATGTCACTGATAGTGACTATGCATTAATTGCACCGCTATCTCATTAATTCTTACAAATGTGGTTTCAGGTTTGCTCTAAGAGGACCACTCGAAGTTTATACGTGCAAGGTCCGTTTTCGGATAGGACTCCTACGTCGCTAAACAATGAGCTTAAATGAGGCTTTAAGAGCATGTTAGCACTGCGCACGGGTCAATCTCTTCAAGGTCAAGCATGACCCTATTTCATTCACCCGATTACCCTCCCCATTATCCCTTTCCAGGCGGACATTTCATTAACAGTTAGTTTCATACCCGATTGACTCACAAGTAAACAATACAATGTACGCTCCTTTTACTTTTATTGAGCTCTCTAAGTTTTGCTTTGCATCAAATTGCTTCTCTAAAATATCAGAGGTTATATCAGGTAAGCACCAAAATAACTGTGGTTAGGCCCCAACCACATTTTGGTGTTAAAACCAATGACTTTCACGTAGATCTTTTCTCCTTTTTTCAATTGGAATACGCCTCCAGCAAAACCGGTGTTCTCCTGTCCGGGCGACATATCCTTGTGAATCATCAAGAGAATACGATTGTTGGCAAAAAGAGCCACACGGTTGTTATTGTTGTGTGACCTTTTGTTGAAGTACATCTGCATGTAAACATAGTAACGACCATCCTCGGGCACTTGCAGTCTTCCATTGGTATACTCGAACCCGTCTAACGCATGGCTTTTGGGGTCATCAGTGTTCCATGTGGTAATTACTAAAAATCGACAAGGAAACAAACGACATTGCTGTATTATCGATAAATCATTATACGATAAGTCAAATTCTCTCGCCGCATTTTGGGGACAGAGGTATATATGACGTCATTAAGTCTTGTTCCTGTTTCTTATTCATTAGATAAAACAGACAGATTCCATGTTGCTGTATGTCTGTTCAGTAAAAGATAACAGATTTTCAATTTTCTGTAACTCCGAAATTTCTGAAATCGGTAATAATATGCTTTAACTTGTGATACATACCTTGATTCACGGCGTAATCAGTGGCCGCTGGGACCCCACCCTCCAGATGTGCAGAAGGGACATAAGTTCCCTGTGAGGCATATATGTTTAGTAAACAATTCACTTTTTCAGTAACAAGTAGTTAATTATCTTTTCTATTGGAAAACCCTCTTTTAATTTCGTGTTCTTGCTTATATATGATAATGGTTGTGAGATAACAAGACCTTGCAGTTCCTGTGTGCGTTTTGCTATTTAGTCAATTTGCCTTAGCACCATCTCAATCCACACAGATATTTTTAGTGTTATCATGACGAAATTGAGAATAGTGAGAATGAAAAGGAAGACAAATTCGAAGCTATATAAACCAACATAACCGAGATTTCTCTCTGTTTAAAACCTAACAAAAACTTAAAAAACAAGCAATCAATTCCGAATTTCGTATCATTCTATTCATAGTTAAATGCAGCCTTTGAGATAATTTGATGAAAATCTATTTTAATTCAAAGATTTGTGTCAATTTTTTAAATAGTTTACGTATAAAGGCCGGACTCTTTCATTGGCGTTTATTTAAGAGGAAGAAACTTACGGATCAATCATTAAATAATTGTGTAACTATTGCGTTGCTACCGAGTAGAAAAGCCAGTTGGCTCAAAAAGTTATTCGTTTAGGGCTCGTTAAAATTAAAAGTATGAAATGGGCAATGTCATATGAAAGACACTATTTTACGTAACGACGCTAAAGAATTCCAAATTGCCATCGAAACATCCAGTGAAATAAAAAAAAAAAAAAAAATGAAGAAATTTCAATTTTGAATTTCACTAGATCTTTCAATGATTGTCCATGTTTAGTTTATAAACTAAATACTCCAAATTCGTATTAAAAATACGTTCTAATCAAAGCAGAGCAATTACCATTTTACAAACTTTTTGTTTGTATAACGGCTAGATCAAAAAGATTTTCCCAAAGCTAGTAACTAAAAATTGCTATTTTCCTGTCAATTCAATAAATATCGAACTCTCCTAAAAGGAAGTATTGCTCATTCTTTAAATGTTCTCTTATTCCCGAAGTACACTTTGTCAGTATCTGGTCTAACTACACTCGGCCTTGTACAATGATAACAACTTCGATCATAGTCAGTAAATCACAGTAGAGGAGAACCGGGCCTTTTGCGTAAGAAACTGTCTGTACATACCTGTTGTAAGGAGCTGACCAGAACCAAGGATGCGAACAACGTCACCAAAAACAGCATGACCTGTCATAGAACGCCAAAATCATTATTGAAAATAACCGGGCATGCGCAACTAGTTCATTCTCCAGAGAGGAGTAATTAAGAGGGTAATTGTTAATAGCTGCACATCAATTGTCGGCAGCAAAGAAGGAATACGAAATCTACACACTTTTGGACACACCCAGTTTATCATTTCATCATTGACACACGACGCTTTCTTGTTTCCCGAACTTTTCTCACAAATATTCAAGCTACCACAATTTGAAAAAAAAAGAGGAAGAGAGAGCCTCCAAATCAGTTAACCGTTAAACATGTACCGGTTATTTATGTCGCCTAAATTACCGTGTGAACTTGTTAAAGACTTCTTTACCTTTTATAGCGTCAGTTTGACTTTGATTGAGATCTTTGTTCTCCTCAACTTGCATAATGACGGACAGTGAGAGATTTTCTTTGCCTAGTTTCTAGCTTCGATGTGTCATAGGTATCATCGTGTTGACTTAAGCACAGTGTTAAATCTGTCCCACCTCGCTTGTTTTTTAAAACTCTATTTTTTCTTCTTATTTCAAAATATACTTAGTCTTTAAGTTGAATTTTTTTTTTTGAGTTTAATTTAGCGAGCTGAGATCTTTTTGTACTATTTTTCTTTGTGGAATGCCAAATTTAGCTAACTACAGAAAAATTCTACTTTCCTCGCTCGACGACATTTGCGAACTGAATAGGAACAGTTGTCCTACACTTTTTTTTTAGCACCACACCTACAGTATCCAAGAAGATCACTGACCTTTGAGATTGCAAACTATCTTCCAAGTTGTGTTCAAGCTGCTACGCGTCCGAACGACTTCGGCATAATACGTCCCTAAAGCAGGATGTTCACTTTGATAAAATGCTTTCTCAGTAAATATTGGGATAGTTTAATTAGAAACAGTGGCGCAATCTTGTTATGAAAACTAAACAATCTGGAATGAGACTTCTAATAAACTTCTAAATTATTGATAGCTTTGATACCATGGCAACAGTTGAACACGTGTGCGAAATAACGAGATCAATTTCTGGCTGTTAACTGAAAGTAGTCTAAAAAAACACAAAAACGGATCCCTGCAGTCTGGTAACTTGACCATCTAATCATTATGTTACATACTGTAAAGTTGTTGTGACTAAGTCGTATCAAGGACGCTCTTTGTATATTTATTTGTCAAATCTAGTAATCTTATTAATTATGTTTTTCGCTGGTTTTCTTGCCCAAACGGTTATTAAAATTTACAAACTACCTAATTTTCTGTGCGGCTCTAATTATTTGATCAGGCGACAATTCCTTCTTAATTTTCTCTTGTTTACCAGCATTCTCTCAGACCAAATCAAACATCTTAATTAAAACCTCCTGGTGGTCCATGTTTTAACTCACTAATCAGACGTCATTTGAGGCATTTCTCTGAAATGTCCATTGTTTTCTGCTAGCCTAATATCAAAGTATAACCTTTCAGTCGGCTGTGCTACAATTGCAAGCTTTAAAATTACTACATTGTTTTCATTGTTTACCCGCCCAAGGCAGTATTATATTAAAACGTTCGAGAGGAGGGCTTGCTATTTGTGTAGAAGATAGGTTTTACTTTTCATTTTATTAACGTTTACTTTTTTGGCTAATTAATTAACGATGAAAAAGAATTGCAATTCTTATTCGTGTTAAGCCTTGGTCAAACGGACTCGGAAGTAGTTGCAAGCAGCTGTAAGTTGAACTTGCGTAGGGACTTGGGTTGGTGGCCAAAAGGACTCGTAAGTTTCCTCGCAAGTACGCGACAGTCGCAAATAAAGCCGTTTCAAGGCTACAGCCTTAGTCCCTCGCGGTCAAGATGTAACCTTAACAACAACGAATGGACGTCTCTCAACTTGCGTTGACTTGTATTGGATGGCTCAACGGTGAAATTTGCGTGCATATTTGATCTCGAGTGAAGTGAGGCATGCAATGCCTGGCCAAACGGAACCGCACGTAGACCCAAGTTTTCAACTAGCGTCTACTTGCGAGTCCGCTTGGCCAGGACTTTGTAGTCGATAGGGTATAGAGAAATTTAGAACTTGCTTCGTTTTATTTGTGGTAGGTGACGAATCACCCCTTTCAACAGAGCTTAGGCATTCCCAAATTCCCATCTAGTAACAAATGCAATTTGTTCTATGATACAATCAACTAACCGTTGCAACGCACACGTCAACGGAGATGATTAAGTCGAAAATTTTTTACCCTTTCTGGAGAATCAGTTTAATAGCAGAATAGAAACGGCTATTGAAATAAAGGTTAAAATGCACGTTTAAAAGAACGTTAAAAACACTGCAGCACGAAGCTTGCTGGAAACTCGAATAGACTCGTGCGTTATATCGATCTGTTTTACGTTTCTTTTCAGATTTTTCTGACATGTGATACACGGACCTGGTTGGTTAAATCCTAAGGCATGTGTGAATATACCAGTGTCAGGTGTCGATTGCAATGTTATCAAAGGTGTAATAGATTACCATGTATTCAACATGCATATTTTAAGTTTGGAGAATCCATTGAAATATGGGCAAAACTGTGGCATAATTTGGATGGATTCACTCTCAGATTTGCCTTTTTATTTTGTCAGTTGAAGTAAAAGCAGGTTAAATAACAGAGTAAATTGAGACTCGACAATATAACTCCTTTTACTTTTGTTGAGCTTTTTGAATTTCGCTTGCATTGTACTACTTTTCTAAGACACCCGAGCTCATATTTGATAAACACCAAAATACAGTGTCACTGTAATTAGGCCCTAACGAAAATTTGGTTTTAGTCAATGACTTTCACGAAGATCCAGTCTCCAGCATTTGAATGTAATACACCGCGAGAAGATGCAGTATTCTTCTGTGCTGCTGACCTGATATGCTCGTGAATTCCAGTCATTAATAGAGTGCTACTGAAGCTAGGGACAATTGTTCGGTTGCTGTTGGGATGTGGTCTTTGGTTGAATTACATCTGAATATAGACATAGTAATGGCCAGGCCTTGGAAACACAGCCGTTCAACAAGCCCTGTTCAACAAACCGTTCAACACATGGCCTGAAGGTTCACTAGGATTCTATGCCTTGATTCAGTACTGAGAAGTTGACGAGGAAACAACACGATTCCAACCAATAGAACGGTTTTCACTTGAGTATCGAAAAGTAATTGGTTTTGCATTGCTACGCTGCGCCATTTGCTTAAAAAAAAAAAACTCGGGCCACGTTATAGGACCAAAACTAATCACGACTCAGTCGCAAGCGTTTTCTTGCGCTTGGCGACAGCTACCTGCATGTTGTGAGAGGCTTGATTAGTTCACTGGATTGCCTCTGTCCTTTGTGATTGGCTAGAGTGACACTTCGGTTTTGGTTTTTCGGCACTCGACTGAAAACTGCCCTATGTCAACGTCTGATTACATTATTTCTAAATGTTTGATAGAGAAGACTCGAAAAAGGAGGAAAAAACACACCTGGGGCTTCTGTATGTTGTTCCCCAAACCTTCCTTCCGTGTCTCTCAACTCGATAGACACACGAAAACGTTTGGAACTTGTTAAATGATAAGAAAGGAGGTGGCTGAACGGGACTACGCTTAATCATTCGAGTTTGGCCAATAACAACAAAAATATCCGTTGCAACCATGCCCCTCCCGGCCAAAGCATCCCTAGAAGTACCTCACCTAAGCGTCATATAGTAATGTATATTGTCTCGGTCGCCAGTACAGACTTCAATGCGTTTTGTCTGTGCTGGCGTTCTCGGTCAAGATTATCCCATACAGAATTCCCGCTCCGTTAATAAGAACTAAATATTGAGAATATCGGAAAAATTTACTTCAGCAATACCCGGCAAACTATAATCAATGTACGAACGGAATTTCTGTTGTTGTTACTATTGTATATCCCAAACTTCCAGCACAAATTACAACTGTCAAATCATAGGAAAACTGTAAAGAGAGTTGTTGCTCCTTTGGCGTCAAATCACTTCCGAACAAAATAAAATGATCTGATTTACTAGAGTAGGTATTGCACCAGGCCAGTTACTCTTTATTCCTATTTCCGGAATCCTGAATTAATCGATCAAGTTAATGATACTTCTCTCAGATGTCACTCTTCACTAACCAGTGCCGCTTGTTGCTCGTCAACAAAATAGCAAATGCTGATATCTCTTAGGGATAAGCTGAATAAGGCTACCTCTCAAAGTATAAGTCTGGTACATTGCAAGTTGCAAAACTTTCAAGGAGCATTTGGTAAAGCTATAACAGATGAAGGGAACGTTGAACTAAACAAGGCACTTTATACGCATTTACTCGAGCCTCCTTCAGGAAATGAAGTTTTCGCAACAAGCCTTTGTTGACGTGTTGTGAAGTTTCCCAGGGTTAAGCATGACGTTAACGGCAAACGGTACTAACGATACGTGCATTGTATTAAAAAAAGAAAAAAAAAAAGAAAACTGATAGACAGTATCAGGCTCTTGTTCAGGTGTACCAGTTCATCAATGACGCCGTATTAGGGGTTTTCAGGATACTGGATATTTGGGTAAAAAAGTGACAGGACACACGAAATTTAGGGGGAAAATTAATGGAGTAGAGCATGTTTAGACCCGATAAAACGGGACACTTGTGTCTTTCGCTGCCGGAAATGCCATGATCAAATTTTCCGAAAGGCGGCAACACCCTGACAAAGAGTGCGCTGGAAGTAATGGTAAGTGGCGTTTTATTGAAACTCCTTATATCTTCTTCGCCGTTTCACTTTTGCATCAGAAAAGGAAATGTTCAGAAAATTACTAAAGGGCAGTTAAGGACGGTGCATCATGTAAGGCATGGTTTAAAAGCCAGGCGAGCGCTTGGTTTTGAATAATCAACCACGCTACCAAGCGCGCGACTTAAAAAAAAAAATCCTATTGTGGCCGAAACAAATATCGCAGTGAAATTACAAACGTGTACTAAAAGCAGGAACATCAGAAAAGCAGCATATCGCTAAGCACTAACTGTTAAGGGCTTCCAGATGAAAAACTAGCTGTTATTGTAACCGCAAAAGAAATTATATCCAACTTCAGGTGGCTTATGCGCGTGCCAAAAAAGTGCGAGAGACGTCAATGTTTGACTACCTGGGGAGGTCACAGGAAAAATGTAACGGGCAACCAACAAAGTTTTCGAAAGGATGAAACAACCCATTTTTAAACTTTTGAAAACGTGTGATCACCACTACATTTTATGTTATGAAATGGAAGTGGCAAGCTTATTCAACACGTGGATAGTTTTTGGCTGTGAGGAAAAACCATGTAGACTGTATTTTGTCTAAACCAGAGGAGAGCTGTCCAGGGATGCTAAAAGCGCTTTTGCGACGATTTTGTTATTAAAGACATTCCAAAAGTTATTTTTATGTTACGATTTATCATGTGTTTAAAGATGTTTATTAATGTGTTTAGTTTTCTGCATGTAAAGGCGAACTCTAGGAAAATCTGTGAAGAAATATCTTTTTCTCTTTCCTGAAAAATGCAAACGTCAGCAGTTTTCTTCGAGATTCAAGGCTAGTATCTCGGAAAAATTAATGGCTACCCCAGTTTTCTTTGTGGATTCCAATAACCCTAGCTAAGATCTACTTTTTCCACATTTTCCTAATCTGGAGAAGCGTTTCGTGACGACTTTAATAACGGCTGCGGAGGAGACTAGGAACTCATCTAAGGTGAACCGCCTAATTCTGTCCTTATCTTTTGTGATACAGTAACTGCTTCCACTTTATTGCCGTCCCCTGACCTAAGAAAAACTTTTCTTCAAGGTAGATTTTTTGTTTTTCATTGAAACGAGTGACCAGTTTCGCCACTTTCAGGGCCCAGCCTCTAGGTTTA